CTGGCTTTAAATATGTCCAGTGAGTGTCACATTCTTCAAGTTTTGCTTCCTCTCATTATGTGTCGCAGATTTTCAATCGTCCATTTCTGATTCATAATATAAGTGACTTTCTGTTTCCATTTTTCCTTAAAACCTCTTCGTTGCTAACCCATGCTCTGTCTATAGTATTCCGAGTATCCTTCTGTAGAACCACATCCCTCTTTCCTTCTCTCATCTTCTTCTGTGAGGAGATTGTACTGCATTTATACATATATGATGATACATATACATATATTCCATCTCTTTGCATGAAGAACTCTTTTCTTATATGTTCCTATGTCTTATACAAATAAAACCATTTTCTACCCTTAAAATAATATTTACTCCACAGCTATGAAGCTATGAAGTAACAGAAATAATGTATAAAGTAATGTTGGCATTTTTAATCATGTATTTTTCAAATCACAGTTATAAATTTTAGTTTTATCAAATATTTGTTTTTTTTTAGATTTGAGTCATTAAAATAAGAAAAAGTTACTAGATTTGTTTTGTTTCAGAATGCGTTTATTTGTTTGACTTTATTGATTTTATTTAAAGAAATAAAAAGTTTTCTTTTTAATCATTTCACTCCAGACAAAAAAAATGCCACTAAGACTCTATGTTACTGAGAGTGAGCGAGCATGGGAGGACTTTAGTGAGGAGAAAGGTCACTAGAAGAGTAGGTTTCAGGAAAACATAAGATGGTGATTGACGATGCATTTAAACTTTTGAAGATCGTAGGTGGCAAGAAAGGAAGCAAGCAACAGGGAGGAAGTTCCACAGGCGGGAGGCGAGAGAGAAAAAAAACTATTAGATTTTTTTATCGTTAAAAACGAACCCACGACTTTTTGATTACTATAGCATCGCACTTATCATTGAGCTACAACGAGTACGCCCCCACGAATAAATGATTTGACAAGATGTTGAAACCCTGATTTAATTAGGAAACTATTGTTAATACTATTTTACGGCGCATGGAAATCTTTCAAATAAAAAATCAACAGTGAGGACCTCGAGACAGATCAACAGGATTATTTGTTGACGTTTTAGCCGGTCAGTACGACTAATTTCGAATTTTCTGATACCAGTCGGGCACAGATATCTCCAGCTAGTTCTATCCAGGGAAACTCGCTCGAATTATTATGAGACACATTGACAACTGAGAGGCTACTCTTTAGCTTGTTTTATACATGAGTCACGGCTGTGCAACACTCCTTTGTCTACTGTCAAGCTGGCTATACATGAAGACCTTAGGCATTCTGTCATCATTCATCCTTACAACATGACAAACTCAGCGAATTTTGTATCAGGAAAGTCTCAGTTCCACCAATGTTGCATTTTGTGAGAAGAACAGCATTGGACAACCTATCGTCAAACGTATAGCCACAGATCGCGTTGAGACAACTTTTGTGAAAGACATTCAGTTGATTGATATGGGACCTATATGGGCTTCATGGTTCTGAGCCATAAACCCATATTTTGGTGTCCAATTTGATACCTCTCTCATTTCATAGGCAGTGTCGAAGCTTCCAAAATGCACTTGTAGCTTTGACGATCCGATTTATCATTTCATCATCAAGCGATGGATTTACATTCATTTTACTTCCTAAATATGTAAATGACTTCACATATTTCAAGTTCTTCCCATCAATCTGTAAAGGATTCTCTAGGAATCTTACCATGGACGATTTGTTAATAAGGTTACTTCTTGATGTTATCGGTCTGGGGAGGTGAAAATCATACTACGAGTTGACCCCAGACGTGAAATTGGGGAGACGGAACTCTTTGGGTGTCGTCGATGGTTGTATCAGCACGAATTTACAAGTCATCACAAGGGTTTTAGCGTGCTGGACATGTTCAGACTGTTGATCACGCTAGATAACGCGCTCTCTCTCAAACACTGTAACTAAGGTCGGCTCCGCATAGCTGCAGTATAAAGCACAGTTGAGTTGTGTGGGTGTTGGAATATGCAAATGTGCCTGGGTAAACTTCTGTTCAGAAGATGGGCATCCTCAGATCGAGTACCCATGCATTATATATATATATATATATATATATATATATATATATATATATATATATATATATATCTGTGTTGTAAGTATGTATATATAATATATACATACTTATATATATATATATATATATATATATATCTTGTGTGTGTTGTATATATATATATATATATATATATATATATATATAAAAAAATAAAAGTGGCAAGATCTTTTAACATTATGAAAAAAAAATGACCAACTGACCGGTTTCCCCCTCACTCAACAGAGGTGAAAGACTAAATATTACAATATAAAATATAAAACATGAGAAGCATGATGAAATAAAGGCGGTACAATCAGATGAAAATAATATCAAGCGTAATAGACATTCCCTCTGTTTACAGAGGAACGGTTGTCTAGACCTGACATACATCATTGCCAATGCCTTCAAATATAATAAAGAATGAGCATGACTAAGGACGGAGAAAAAGTCAATGCTGAAATTGGTGACCCAGCTTGGATTATTTATAAGTTGCTCAGTGATAGCGGAACCGTATGTGTTGTTGATCTTGTCACCGGATTGAAATGTACCGTTCCTAATTTTCTGGGTACGTATATATATATATATATATATATATATATATATATATATATATATATATATATATATATATATATATATGCAATGTTTATATATATATATATATATATATATATATATATATATATATATATATATATATGCAATGTTCATATATATGCGCGGCAGTTATTGAAAGCGCTAAATATCAGTGATATGGATGCGTATATGCGCCCACTCCCACACTCTTCAAATATGTATATGTTTGTGTGAGCTGCAATGACTGGACGTGCGTGTGTGCGTGTGTCTGCGTGCGTATGAGTGACGTCCCGGGGAGGACGCAGCGGAGAATTTTTCCTCCCACTACTATCAAACACCGGTATACACAATCATAAATAAATCCAAAATTTCAAAATCAGTTTATCTGACGATCGCAAAGGGCGTGAAACCCAGGGTCGCAAACTCACATCGACGCAACTATATATATATATATATATATATATATATATGATAATTGACGCGTGATATTAGTTACCTGTACATAAGAAGCAGAGAGCGTGTACTTAATTCGCACTATTCAGACAAAATGTCAGGCTGTCTCTTTCTGGTTCGTGTTTAATGTTGCCATTTGACTCTTGCAACGAGACAATGTTAAATGGCTTGTAAAAACGATCGTTCGATAAACAGCAATTACTATGGCTGTATCGAATGTCAACTCTTTGTTTCGAAAATAATAAAAATGGATAAAAATCTAACCGGCAGCCAACACTCAGAGAAACGTTTCTGTGTTGTTAGGTACATTTATATTTGAATAATATTCATATGTATCCCCCGCCCACAGACACACACTGACACTCTTGAGGCAGCGCTTACACAGACACACACACATACTTACACACAAGAACAAACGCACATAAACACTCACATCGGCGCAGACGAGCAAAAACTCACGCACGCAAATAAACATTTACGCAAACTCTACAAAAGTATTCAATAAGTTCGTATGAACTGAATTTTTATGCTAATTTTTTCAATCTATTTTTTAAATAAAGAAACGTTTGCTTTAACAAGGAAAGAGGGTTATATTGAAAGACATGCGAAATGTTCATGTACATGTTGTGGTGAGTAAATTGTCGCCATTTTATACTTTTGATTTCGCGCATGCGCTATGTTTTTCATTGATTTTATCAACTGCACAGTATAGTAGGGTCAGTTGGGCACCGTCTATGAGAAAAAGACCAATAGATGCAATTTACACCTACAGAAATTTGGAAAAGTCATTATGTACTGCTTGATATTCGCGGATATGGAATAGGAATATTTCAGTGTCTGGATGTCAATCTGAGGACAGTGCAGAGGATTCAGAAAGGGTTGGACCAGTCTAATGGTGATTCTGAAGGGGTTTGGAAAGATCACTAGTAATGGCGACGTTATGCCTCCATTCATCTTCCCACAGGGCCTCAAACTTAACACTGAGGTCTAAATCAAGTCCCTTGAAGAAGTAGTGCTGCCCTGGGTCAAGAGCGTGGCTGTTGAAAGACCCTATCTCTGGAAACAAGACCCTGCACCATGTCATGCAAGAAGGAGAACCCAGTCATGGCAGTCAGAAATTCTGCGACCACATCTCCCATCATCCAACTCCCCAGACTGCAACCCCCTTAATTATTATATGAGAGACCAACAAAACTCCTTGTAACACCAAAGCTGAACTGAATTTTAAGGATTATGGCAGCATTCACCAACTTAAACAAGTAGACTGTGCAAAAGAATTGGAGTCCGTGGTTGAAGGCAATGGTGATCTTATTGATTAAATTTACTCTTTCGTATTTCAAGATATTTTTGTGTAATTTTGGTGAATATATCCATTACAATGAGATGTCACTGTTATTTTCATTTTTGAGTAATTTAGATGACAATTCGTCCACTCAACAATATATATATATATATATATATATATATATATATATATATCAATAAATACTTTTATAAACTTTGGGTGCGGGTTCCTCACACCAAAACATATACCTTGGTCATCCTCGACATCCTGAAGAATGTATTCTTCGGGGCCAGGTGTACGAGCGGATCTCGGTTTTATTCGGGCCATAGATTGTGATGCCACTTGTCTTGCCTCAGGAAACCGACGATAAATAGCAGCACACAATGTGAATATCCTGTCATTTTTAAAGGGAACACGTCTCAGTTGACTCACTACAATACACCTTAAACGTTGAATACAGACGAGCCACAAAAGTACACGAATGATAAATTTCACCAAGAACAGCGCCATATACTGTAAACTTGCTTTGAACTTAATAACTCAAAAACGGAAGATTTGCGGATATTTATTTGGCCTCTTGTGCTTGTGTGGAACCTGCTCCAAAAGTTTGTAAAATTATTTATGATACACTCCGTTTCTCTCTCTCTCTCTCTCTCTCTCTCTCTCTCTCTCTGAGGCTGTCCGTCATTTCTGACGACGACGCTGTCCTTCCATCTCCGCCCGTCTTCTGTGGGCTGCCAAATGAGATAGCAGCCCGATCCGCGAACGACAAGTTCTTGGATACAGGTGGCAGGGAAACATGACCGGTGCGGAATTGGCAGGTTGCAGATGACGCTGGCGTCGCCTTCCCCTGAGCGCTCCTCGTCTCTCCTCCTCGAAATGCGCCACTCCGGCGGCGCAGAGAGACCGCCAGCTGATCCGATCTCTTGCGACGTTCTCCAGTTGTGTTGGGTCAATATTGCAGGAGCACGCTTAAGGTAGTCCCGAAACCGTTTCTTTGGGCCCTCACGTGGGCGGCTGCCAGTCTGGAGCTTTCCGTAGAATACTTCTTTTTTTTTTTTTGGTAGGGAGGCGACTGCCCGACATCCGCACAACATGACCAACCCAACGTAGAAGGTGTTGTCGGATGATGCGCTCCATACTGACGACCTCCACACGTTGAAGAACCTCGGTGTGGGGAATTATATCCCTCCAAGCAACCTGCAATATTCGCTGAAGGCAGCGGATGTGGAATGTCTCAAGCAGTTTTATTTGTCAGCGATACGGCGATCCAACATTCACAGCCGTAGAGCAGTGTTCAAATAACAAGTTTCATTGAATAATATAGACATGTTATGTCTATTTTATACTGATCTTTTCCAGTTATCTAATCAATTTCTTGATGTTAAGAGGAAATTCATCAAGGTAGACGTGATAGGTTTTTCCTACCCAGATATTTTCGATCTCCTCCAAGATTATCCCTAGATTTAATTACGATGAACGCGCCCCGTTATAATTATACAATGAATAAATTAAAATATAAAAATACTTATAAGAGATCGCGTTTTTTAAAAATCACCATCACAACGAAATGCAGATTTTATTGCAGTTACAATAAGATTGAATTTGAAATTTCCCCTTAGAAAAGATCGAAAGACTTGGGTTTAAAAAAACTACGGCACCTTCATTAAAGAATTTCAAGAAACTAAGACAATTGCAAAGGATCAGTTTAAAATTAAAGGCATAATATATCAATATTATTCAATATTAATATTATAATATTATATATCTTAAATAAAGATATGCTGCCTAAACACACACATACACGCATACACACACACACACACACACACACACACACACACACACATATATATATATATATATATATATATATATATATATATTGTTTTATACGTTATTTTTTTAGATACAAATATTTAAGTAAATACTCTGTTTATAATAAAGAGTATTAACAACATTTACCGGTCGGAATATCCTAGAAATCTCAAAGAAAAAATACCGTATAAATAAAAAATATATTAAAATAATTGTCGGACTTAGTCCATTTCATAATATATCATGTTATTTGTTTACATTATGATACGCTTCAAGCAGATATGAGCATTCAAGAGAAATAATGGGAAGTTTGTAGTACAAAAATAGTAATTTAATCTTGCTAACAGGACGCTTCCTCTGTAGCAAAATGGTATAGCACGTCAAGCTATATGGCTGTTCTGTGTAGGATACAGATTCAATTCCTCTCCGAGGACACATTTTTTTTTTTTTTTTTGAGATTTATCGGATATTTAGGGTGGTAAATGTTGTTATAAACAGGACATTTACTAAATATTTGTATTTATAAAAACATATAAACAAAAAAACATATCGAACTAATTGTTGGATTTTATTTTATATATATATATATTTAAATATATATATATAAAGTGAATATCGAAGTCAACACTTAGACGCGACAGGCTGCTTCATTCTAGACGCAATCGTCAGGTTTGACGATTGCGTCTAGCATTAAATATATATATTATATATATATATATATATATATATATATATATAAACAAACGGAATACTAGCTACTTCTCAACTTTTAATTTCTTTTCCACAGAATATAAAATATAATTTCTTTGCATCCGGTATTAATTGCAAAACTTAAAATAAAAGTCTGGTATCAAATAGATTTTTTTAATCCGGTATTAATAATGTTTTTAGAAAATCCGGTATTAATTACAGGTTTTAATCTGTAAGTTACTGTTACATTTTTGAAGCATTCGGCAATCGTAGAATTATTTGAACTCTCAATTCCTCCTTCTTTAAATCTACCGTGATGACAATTGTGCTACCCTCAAATTCACCACATATGCGCAAAGTTTGATATAATGCAATTTAAGTTCGTGTTTTCTCAATAAAATAGTTATTTTCCAAACGATAAAATGCTCAGGATATACATATATCAGAATTACAACTGATGCATTTCCTTGTATAATATCTATCGCTATTTAAGATATTGACAAGGAGTGTCAGCCTTAATTATGCAAGCAAACGAAGTGCAACATCATTATCTATTTAAAAATAAATTCAAAAGGCAAAAGAGACAAATATTTTGATTAACACAATAACCCATAAAACTGAATAACTTGTTTTAATATTATGTCACATGTCAACCACATTTTTATCACTTTTGTGTATTAGTCCTTCATTTATTAATTTTGCTTTGACTAAGTTATTTACAGCTGTTTTCATTACTTCCAAGAGGTCTTCTTTGCTTTAATATTAAATATTGTTTCCTATAAATTTAATTTTGAACCGCAAGCTTCTTGAATTAATTCGGTGTCTTTCAAGTCCTTAATGGGTAAAGTGGCATTTGTAAGTTGTTTTTTCAAAGAACTTATAATAATTCCCTACATTTATTGGGAGACCATCATAAATTTAAAGGGACTTATAATTTTACTACCTTCAGTACGTAACTAAAACATTACTCAACCTCATACTTGCTGTCTATCAAGCCGTGTTGGTTGACGATTTTCCATGAAGGATACAATGGCTTTCTCAGACGTCACGTCTATCCATTTTCACTTACATTAAAACTACTGTTGATAAATAAGTTTTCATATACTTCTTCATCTAACTTACTCATTTCTCTCTTTATGATGGTTACTTAAGGGTGGTAGCTTATTTGCATTTATGTCTTTAGCTATTGTTCTTAATATACTACAACTTTTTCTCTGTTTCTATTCCCAACAATCAAGTTCTTCAAATATTTTATCGTTGGTAAATCAAATTTTTTTTTTATTTTAAATTTAATCTTTCTCGAACTTCTTTTTGTAACATTTTAAAAACCAGTTTTTTTATTATTTTGCCCATTTTTACGATCTTTTTATTCTTCTCTGAAATGCATTTAACTTTTCCGCGATTTCCATAATTTAGTCATTTCAAAATATCTTGATTCTCTTTGAAGCTATCTTTTTACGACCCATGAAAATGTTTATATATCTGAAATTAAAAACAATAATAATGAAATAACTATAAAAAAAATTGTATTTTTTACAATGTGACGAATAAACGACGATTCGCCTAAAAAATCTGACACCAGAAAATGTTTTCTAAACAATTGTTTAATAATAAAAGTTATTCCGAAATTAGCATGTTCTACTTATCATATTCACTGTGAAACATGCACAATAAAATTTGACTTAGTAGCAAACGTATGTCTATTCTAAATCCGAATTAAAAATACAAATGATTGCATTTCTGAAGCAAATGAGAGAAGAGTTGAAATCCAGTGACTTACATGAGTTGTACATTAACAACTAAAGGATATTCAGTTCTTTTGGCTTAGACTGCGCGCTCTCAACACGCCCATGTAAATCAGAACAGCGAAGAAATAGCGATGACAATGTAATAGAGAAAAACGTGTTGAACATGACAACAAGGCTGTTTTAGAAACAACAGTAGACAAGGAAGAAGCCAACTGGAAAATAGAAAAACGAAATGAAACAATCTGAAACATTTGTTTGCAAATGGAAAGAAGTAGAAAAGGGATGATTTTTATCGTTAGCTTACTGAAAATTGTTTCCTCGATAAATTCAGTGACCTGCTTGTGAGTAAAAAATGGCGGCATAGTAAAATATATATATATATATATATATATATATATATATATATATATATATATATATATATATATATATATACAGGGAGAGAGGGTAAATTGTCGCCATTTTATTTTTTAATTTTGCACATGAGCGTTTGTTTTTATTTTGTCGACTGCACAGTTTCGCAGTGTCATTTGTGCACTGTCTATGAGAAAAAGACCACCATGATGCAATTTACTCCGCCAGAAATTTGGAAACAGCATGCTGTACTGTTTGGCATTCGTGCCGGAAGCTCTAATACGTGCATTTCATAGTGTTTGGTGTCAGTGTTGAGGATTCGAAAAGAGTTTGACGAGTCTAATGATGATTACGAAGGTACGCTAGCTTGGAAAACTCACTTTGATCGTTCTGATAAAAAACGAACACCCGAATTTGTTGAGAGATTTTTCTTCTTGTCTCTTTTTGTCACACACACACACACACACACACACACACACACACACACACACACACACACACACATATTTATATATATGAATAAAAAGAAAGAAGAGGAAAACTATACTTAGCCGACGAATTTAGTCCTTTGACGGACATTATCAAGTCAATGTAGGATTTATTTTGTTGCATGTGTTTATATACAAAAGTGTGGGATATCATTGGTTTATCAAGACTTTTAAATTTGAGAACGTTCATGAATTTTCGTCAGGTTGTTGAAAGGTCAATCAAAACATGTGGAGGATACAAAGTGTCATAATTCAAAGTCTGTCAAAAACTATGAAAGTAATATTCAAGATTTTTTTTTAAATGAATATTGTTTAGATTGTGATTAGATTGTTATGGTACGGGATAGATGTATGTGCTGAGGATCTTCAAGGGCTTTTCTTTTGATTTTTCAACATATTTGTGGTCGTATATGTTGGCTTAGGAAAGCAGTAATTCTTTCAGGAAAGTATGTGTATAAGCACGTGTAATAAAATAAATCCTACATAGCCTTGATCAAGTCCTACAGAGAGCGAAACACGCCAGCTCAGGATAGTATTTCCTCTTGTCACTTTTTTATTCATTTTGTTCGTCTACAAATACACTCCATCAGATATATATATATATATATATATATATATATATATATATATATATATATATATGTGTGTGTGTGTGTGTGCGTGTGTGTGTGTGTGTGTGTGTGTGTGTGTGTCATCTCATTGTCCGATTCTAGAATTTCGTGTCACCCCGCTTATCATGGTAAGATGTTTGATAATTCTATTGAATTATTGCCAGATATCATATTTATATTTCTCAAACGAAGCGCTAATAAAATACATATAGCATGCTTGAATCCGTTTAAAATATAAGAAAATTTAAGGATTTAGCTGCTGCTAAAATGTTCGATATTTTATATAATTTCCTCGTTATGAAATATAATTCTCTAAAAATTTTACTATAATCGTTTTATAAAAGTTTATTTTTTTCAATTTAATTGTATAATTATCTTGATTTGATGTAGGTAGGTTTTAAACCAATAATTCAAATTGGTAGTCTCCACTGAAAACTTAAATAGAAACAATATTAATAATAAAACATGATCTGTAATAAATACAATAATAATGAACAAAATATCCGTACCAAACTTTTCAGCGTTTTCTCTGAAAAAATTTCTTCATCGTATAATAATAATAATAATAGAAGAAGAAGAAGAAAAAGAAGAAGAACCTTTCCTCAGTAATAAAAGAAGTCAACAAATTCAAAAGGGAATTTCAAATGAGTGAAGAAATGCAAATCAACAATAATATACCAACGGCAGCGCCAAAGAACCTAAAAAGAAAACAAAAGTAAATGCAATGAACCAAATGTAGAAACAATGGTAAAATAATCCTCTTCGTGGTCAATACTTTGCCTGTACCAAATAAGCTGATGTAGACAAACCCCGTACTCATCAGTGGTTAAATAGAGCATGATTAAATGCTGAAACAGAAGGTTTTATTATTGCTACACAGGACCAATGCTTGCTAACTAGAAATTAATAAGGTCACATACTGAAAAATTGTAAAAAGAAACAAAAAAACCTCAGATGCAGATTCTGTGATAAATATCTAACTGACCATCTTGTATCGCGTTACAGAGTGGGGCAAAATATACAACTTTTACGCGAAGGAAACTGCAAGTAACTGGTATGAATATCACCCAGACCTGGTTACAGAAATAGGACCTGTAACAATTTTATGGGACTTTACGATACACCCAGATGGAACAGTCAAAACTAATCACCCAGGCATCGTGATCAAAGACCACAAAAACAGAATATGCTTTCTTATTGACACGCCAGTCCCAACAGATTGCGATGTATCTTTGATGATCTTCAAATAACTATCAAAATGCAAAGACCTTGAAATAGAAATCTCAAAAATGTGACACATGAGAACATTAACAATTCCTTTTGTAGTTAGAGCCCTCGGATTGATTGGAAAAAGTTTTGGTAGATTCATTGAAAGGATTCATGCTAGCCTTAAAGAAATACAAAAAGTCTACTCACAATACAGTTCAGTTTACGAATAGTTTTATTTATGTAAAATGGGTATGATCTTTGTTTTGTTTTGTTGTTGTTGTTTTCTTTTTGTTATCTTTTCACAAAAATGATCAGTGAAAAATGTCATGAAGCCATTTCTGACCTTAGGTCTCTGGTTGAGAACAACAACAACAACAACAATAATAATAATAATTGGTCTTATAAATATTTACAATTATTTTGTAATATTTATTATATATTTTTATTGTATTATTTATTACTTTCTATTATTTATTTAAACAACTGAAATAACAACAACAACAACAACAACAACAATAATAATAATAATAACAATTGAAATAATAATAATAATAATAATCGTTATAACAGAGGAGGATACGATTATTCTGATGCCCAGCCGTTCAAAAATATATCTCTTAGTTCATCCTGAATGGCACCGAAATACGCGGATACTTCATGTGTTGTGATTCCGATTCTCATCAGTGTGGCGTTCAGCCTCGAGACAACAACTCCAGCGAGTTTCGACTGACTATATATTAACTCTGCACACGTGATTGAACAACTGGCAGTATATATTTACTGCAGTGAGCATAGATTCCTAGCCTCAAGTCAATGGCCAGGGCGGAATGTTAACCCGACTGTATCAACGGCCACGTGACCGTGATCAAGTCGAGGCTTCATGGTGGAGGATATCGGCTGTAGTTTGACCTACAGGAGGATTAGGGTTATGCCAATGTCTACTTACCCAAGATACGCAACACTTGAATGAATACTTACCAAGACACGTGCAGAGAGTTAGTCATGGGATTGATGATGAGGATGTTAGACTATTGAAAAGATGTAGAAGAAGAAATCTACCCAGAGTTCTTAGGTAAACCTTTCCTTGACTCGAAAGTAAAAAAAAACTTCATCGTCAATGGCCTCCCAAGAAATGTGTAATATTAAAAAATTAATGGTTAAATACGTATCATATAGATAGATAGATAGATATGATTACACTATATATATATATATATATATATATATATATATATATATATATATATATATAGATAGATAGATAGATAGATAGACAAATAGATAGATAGATAGATAGATAGATAGATAGATAGATAGGGGGTAAATTGTCTCCATTTTATATTTATAATTTCGCGCATGCGCGTTGTTTGTTTTTGATTTTGTTGACTGCAGTAAATAGTAGGGTCAGTTGGGTACCATCTGTTAGAAATTTTGAAGCGGCATGCTGTACTGGTTAACATTCTCGTCGGAATCTTTAATGCGAACATTTCAGAGTATTTGGGCGTCAATCTGAGGACTGTGAAGAGGCTGGATGAGTCTAATGGTAATAATAAATGTGGTTGTTGTGATAAAAAAAAAAAAAAAAATTTTCCATTTATTACTGGGCGCCGTTGAGCCAGAGACTAACAAAATTCCTTGTAGCATCAAAAGTTAAGTAAGGATTATGGCAGCATTCACCATTCAAGTAGACCGTCCAGAAGAGTTGTAGGAGATTCCGAAGTCGTCTGGAGCCAATGGCGATATTATTGAATAAATTTACTCTTTAGTATTTCAATTTTTGTGTAATATTGGTAAATAAATTTGTTAAAATGAGATGTCAGTGCTATTTTCATTTCTGTGTAATTTAGACAATTTATCAATTATATATATATATATATATATATATATATATATATATATATATATATATATATATATATATAACAACGTCTGCAACAGGAATTGGCTAGCTGCCCTAGTAGACAGGAATCATCGAATATGAATGGACAGCTATATATATATATATATATATATATATATATATATATATATATATATATATGTGTGTGTGTGTGTGTGTGTGTGTGTGTGTGTGTGTGTGTGTGTGCATAGCTGGCCACATTTGCTCAGGCGCATTTGCGTTTATTCAACAGCCACAGAGCCCACCTGTTTATACTGCAACTATGCTGAGCAGACCGTAGTTACAGTTTCTGGGGAAAGGCCGTGTTATCTAGCATGATCAACAATTTGAACAAGGCCAGCATGCTTAAGCACTCGTCCACGATGACTTGTGATTTCGTGATTGTACAGCTCGGGTTCCGTCTACCCAATTTTCACTAACTAGGCTTGGTTCAACACGTGGTATTGTTTTCAGGCACTTTCCAAAGGTGTCGCACACCGCTCAAACCGATAACTTCACGAAGTCCCCTTCTTGACAAATCGACCATACACACACACACACACACACACACACACATATATATATATATATATATATATATATATATATATATATATATATATATATGAAGAAAAATATACAGAAAAAACAAACAAAAAATCTTAATATGCAATTATGCTGTATTAATGTTAATATAAAGTCGACGTCGGACGTTTCGGTCTATTTAAGACCATCTTCATGGACATTTTCATTTAAACATAATTAACATTAGAACATATAAAAATTTAACACAAAAGACGATGGACAACTAATCCAAACAGATAACTAATCCAAACAAACTAAGAGCACAACTAATCCAAACAGATAACTGAAATTTTTTTATATAAGATCAGCGTTCTGTTTAAATATGATCACGTCGTCGTCACGTGGGCGATGTTGTGAAAACGTATTCGAAGATGATTTCCAAATATTAAAATATTAAAAAAGTCGATTGAACTATTTTATGTAAACAGTTAAAGAAATCCCTTCCGTTGATATATGAATACGCAGAGATCAATAGGTTCTTATATCTTCATACAAGCTTGAAGTCCTCCACGTTACAAAGCAAATCAAAAATGATTTCAAAAACGATGGAACAATTTTAAAAAACAGTTCGATAATAAATCCTTTCCTTACTTGATCAATTTTTTAATTGCATATTAAGATTTTTGTTTGTTTTTTCTGTATATTTTTCTTCATACTGTCGGATCTATATCCATATATTTTTATATATATATATATATATATATATATATATATATATATATATTTTTGTTTGTTTTTCTGTATATTTTCTTCATACTGTCGGATCTATATCCATATATTTGTTTATATATATATATATATATATATATATATATATATATATATATATATATATATATATATATATATATATATATATATATATATATATATATATATATATATATATATATATATATATATATATATATATTTTAAATAAAAACAGACCACTTTAAGGTTCCATGTAATAAATTATTTCACCACAGCCCTTTTAAAGGACTGCGGATCATCAGACTTTACTTCCAAACAAAAAATGCATAGAAAATTTACACATTTTTGACGGGCCGTATTAAACATATGTAAATTAACAAAGTGAGGAAGTGAGGGGGAAGAGAGAGGGGGGAGAGAGAAGACATGAGTGAGTTAGCAGATATTGACACATTTAAACGATTAACTTAACGGAAGTTATATATTGATATCGAAGGGGTAGAGACGAAAAAACCCATAGAGAGAAAAAGAGAGAAGGAAGTTATGACAGAAGATGTCACTAATTTTTTTTGTAAAATAAAAGGCTAGAAACAGACGCTGTTATTTTGCTTTACTTTGAAAGTGTTATTTTGGGGGTTCATAAAGATTATAATGTTTGATATAAATTTGAATGTCTCTAGACTGTCGACAAATAATTTAATTTGATGTTTGTTAATGATTTAAATCTTTTTTAAAATTTTGGGGATTTTCTATGAAATAGTCGATTAGAAAAATATTCATAGAAAGTACATTAAAATAATAAAATTTTATTTTCAAATATAAGTTTACTTCTCATAATCTTTTTTTTTTTTAAATCTCTTTAAAAATTTTATTATTGATTAAGTTGACATCTCTATCCGTTTGAATTTTGTTCATGAATTTAACTCGTGATAGGTAATCTCTTTTACTTAAATTTTAATTATGTTAATATGGGGTAATATTTGAAGGTAATATTAAAAATCTTGCTCTGTCATATACTGTATACACACCCATGCAAATATTACATATACACACGTTCCTTTACATGTTCAATCACTCATACAGGTACCCATGTGCCGAAATACACAGGTAACTTCATGTATTAACATCTACCTAAATATCAAAATTTTTTCCAATTTAAATATTTTATCATAAATAATGATTATTAAAGGGTAATATATTTCAATTTAAATTAAATTATCAATTTAAAAAATTTTCCTCCATATTATAAAAATTTTAAACTCACACTTCCAATTGGAGAATATTAAATGAGAAAATGAGATAAAAAACCAATAACAGGACTGTAAGTCCTTCTTTTATAATATTCTATGTATCCATAAATATACATCTACACACATATCCGTACACATACACACATACATATACATACATATCCATATATATATACATATATTCACATATACACATACACACACACATATATATATATATGTGTGTGTGTGTGTATACTCATACATACACACATACACATGTAGATATACACATACACACATACATACATACATATTTACATATACACACACATATAGCGACATATATACACACACATATATATATATACATATACACATACATATACAGATATATAGACATATACATACACATATACATATACACATATACACACATAGACACATACACACAAATATACATATACACATATATACCCACATGTGCGTGCATGCAAAAAACTTTTCAAAATCCATACGTAATTACCTTATTATATCTATATTCTACCATATTATATATATTAACTCACAACTACTTATATTTATACATACATACATACACTATCTATGGAATGACATACATGTACCCATCTATATATATACACACCCACACTCACACATACATATATAGAAATTATAAAAAATTGTATACATACACATTCACACATATACATGTACCCACATACCCACACATACATATATATATACCCCCATATATACATATAACTACATATAAAAAAGGTCACCTATATACATACAAATATATATACATACATATCCATAACCATACCCACCCACTCCAAAAATGTGCCCACAATACACAAAAATAGCACATGCATGACTATCTTTCCATATAAACGCATATACATATACATATCAAAAGACGTATCAATGTTCAAGTTCAATTACATAGTTATATACATACAGTTATGTGTTCGCACTTATGTGCGCATAGCAACATTTCCAAAAACAAAAAAACAAGATCATGTAATATTAGTCTTCCTATATAGTTATTCCTAAATATATTTAGTTAGATTTAGGTTGTTCTTATGTCGGCATTTAAAAATTAGTTCATTATGTTTGTTTAGTAATAAATCCGGATCTTTATGTTTTATTATGAGGATTTTTTCTTTTATGCATAAGTCGCATCTGTCTCTTAAATTTATTAGAGTTCTGGCTCTCGAGATTATCTTCCACTTTATTTGTGGGGTTAAGCCACCATCCAACAAATCCCAACAATGCTTTGACAGTGCCGTTTGGTTCTTTTTACATTTATCTTTGAAGGACTGGCGATGGTTATAAAGTCGATGTTTCCAACTTCCTGCCGATATTCCTATGTATATCCTTTTCTGCTCAAAATTCTCTTTGGGGAAAAGAGTCCTTTAAAAGGGCTGTGATGAAATAATTTATGACATGGAACCTTAAAGTAGTCTGTTTTTTATTTAAATTATTGGCTCTGGATTTACATTGAGCTCTCTGGATTTTATCCTCCTTAGGTTTACCCATACGGATTACCTAGTTTTTCATAAACTAACTAACTAACTATATATATATATATATATATATGGTGGGGGAGACTGGTTGAGGCATTAGAACATTCACGCATTGCTTTGTCTACAGTTTTCGTTCTCTTAGACTTGTTCCTACTCAAAGCTAAAGAGACCAGACTATCCTGTTATTTAACACGTAGGCAAATTCAGGCCTTTTTGAATTGCATTCTTTCGAACGTGAACACAACAGACTAGTCCGAAACCTGAACTCGATTCATGGATTTTACTTTTCGCTCCAATATCTGTTAAATTATTCTCACATGCTGATTAATAATATAGCTGCAGTATAAACTAAAAGTTGATTCTCTGGGTATTAAAGAAACAGATATGAGCCTGAGCGGGTGTCTACAACAGGGATTATGTAGTTATCCTAACAAATGGGTTTAATCAGAAACTAATAAGTAGCCATTACACACACAGTCACACACATACACAGATAGATAGATAGATAGATAGATAGATAGATAGATAGATAGATAGATGCATGCATGCAAAGTAAGTCTTCGCTTCCAGGAGTAGACAAGTTCAAGTACAAACCAAAAATAATATTATATCATCTGAGTATGTCCACAAATCTTCCCCGAGAAATCAACACTATTTTAAAACCGTTCTAAAATGTTTTCTTGTTTTTGCTCGAAAGAAAAGAACTCAAAAATGTGCTAAAAAACAAACAAAATAAAGAATATCAGTTTTCATTTATCGTAGCGTTGAATCGGACTTTTATAAACCTGATGTTTATATTAATCGGCAATAAATCAGTTAAGTCAATCTTTACGACTTGTTTGACAGGTAACTATTTTTTTTAATGTCGATGATTGGAGATTTTCGCTTTTTGATATTTAGGGGCTAGCGACATTATACTTATACACCATAAGCCCATTTGATGATAGAGGGATCACAACTATTTCCAGTAAAACAAAATTGAAGTGGATATTGAAGTCAACACCCAGAGGCGACAATCTAACGTTAAACGCTGTCTTCAGGTCATGTGCGTTTTGCTCGACTAAATATATATACATGTCAGAGATGCGTTGTGGGTAGTCTATTGTATTCCATTGTGGGTAGTCCTTTAACGGTTGTTTTGGTGAGCGGTAACGATTATGTTTCGAATTATTCTAGGGGCTATTGAGTGGGAATAATTATGGATCTGAATGCAGGTTTTTGGCTATTTATAGTGTCGTTAGTTAACCTTTCTTCATTTATTTATTATTGATTATGTTGTTGTTGTTTGTTATTACTACGTTTTCTTGAGTTTATCTGTGAGTAGGCGGTTTGTTATTTTGTTTATTATTTATTTTTTTGTTTGTCTGGATTAGTTTATTTTACTTGTTTTTGTTCATTTATTGTATTTTATTTGTTTTCGTTTACACTTTTAGATTTTTAAGTAAGGTGATAAATATTTGTTTTCATGTCTGCATTTTGAGATGAGTTCTGATCGTTTATTAATAGTTTATTTTGGTCTGGGAATGTAATTATAACTAATTTGCTTCCAGGCAGAGCTTACAGTTTTGGACTGTTGATTGTTGTTTTTCTTATTTTCCATATTTTTGGTTTGATTTTGTTTTTGTTTTTAATCTTCCTGATATGATTAGAAAGCATTGTGATGCTTGCGTATTTACTATTTATAAAGGATGTTTTGTGTTGCTAATTTCTTTGTGTCCGGGGTCCTTCAGTTACTCCTATGTATATTTTTTCTTCGTGTATCTGCTGATTTTACAGTGGCTTGTTATATTACATTTTTTTTTTCAAGAAATTGCCGTTTAAAGGAACATTCCTTCTTTGCTCTACTGTTATTCATGGGTTTAAGTTGTTCAGGTGGTTTGTTGATTGTCTTCTTGTATTTTTATTATTTGTGTCACATTCCAGATACAACTGTAGTTGATTTTTACTCTTTTTTTGCTGAATAGCTTGTGGAGAGTGCTTGATGCAGGGAAAAGTTTGTGCATGAGTTTAATCAATATTTTTCTACATTTGTTTTTACGTTTTTGATGTAGGGTGGGTTGACCATATCATTTTCTCTTCCTGTTGGAATTTTTGTGCTGCGTGGTGTGTATGTGAGTGTTGCGGGGAATCCATTATCTCTTAGGGCTGTTTGCATAGTCTTTCTTGGTTTCGTTGAAGATGGTTTCACTGGAAGAATTGTTGGGAAGCCTGTGGTTAATTAATTGTGTTATCTACTTGATTATTGATGGCGGATGGTTGGGAGATGTGTGTATGTAGAGTGATTTATTATTGGGTCTTAAGTATGGATTATATGTACCTTTTCTTAGATTGACATCTAAGGTGACATCTAGAAAATCTACTTCTTTTTTGTTAGTTTTTATATCTATGCTGAATCCCACAATTTTTGGACATTTTAATGATGGTTTTACTAGTTTTGTCTCTTGGTTGTTACAGTTTCTTAAGGTTATGAGACCGTCGTCCCCGTAGAGACCTGTATCATTTTTATCGATTATTTTACTCAGTTCATATAGAAAATGTATTCCTATAAACGCACAGGTCTCGGCACCATCAAACTTTCCCATTGTAGTGTCAATGTTTCCTTATTTCTTTATCCATGCGTCTTTCTGTCAAATAATAGTGGTTTTCGGGAATGTTTGATGATATTTATTTCGTTTGTGGTTATTTTTATTTGTTCTTGAGCTATAAGTGCTTTCTTTACTGCACATAAAAATTTCATCCGCAATATACTAGTAAAAAATACAAGTCATCCCCATTCACATTTTAATATCCTCATCCACATTTTAAAAAAAAAGATTAAAAATAATGGAAGCACTAATATGAAAAAAGGAAAGGCCAACATAAAATAAGATGAACTATGGGCACGGCCAAAATGTGCTGGCCGTATTCAGAAAATAATAAAACATTCCCATCTAGAAACAAAAAAAAATCAACACATTCAGTTAAAAAACATCCTTGAGACTGGCTAACAGAATTGCGCTCAGATATACAGGACATTTGGACAATATTTACACACTTTATGTCCAGAAAAGAAAACAACTTATAGGAACACAAGAAAAATAAAATAAAAATCTAAATCACAGTACCTTGTCAGTCGTCTTTAATGAAAATTGTATAAAAGAGGGATTGCTGCCCAAATAAAAATTTACACACACACACACACGCACACACATATATATATATATATATATATATAATTAATAAAAGGAAAATATTGTGAATATGAACACACCTCTGTAGGATATGTCTTGGTCTCGTCCAAATAGCATATATACTGATGCCGAGAATCGTCAGCAAAGCTAGCCGGGAACAAGCCTGATATCCTTACTACAGAATTCAGTAAGACTATATATGTCGATATCTCTGTGATGAGGGATTATGATTACTTACATTATTTATATTATTCAGACTGTTATCCTTATCTTCATTGTCATATTCACAACGTTTCAGGTGATTGGAATTTCGTACTGAACCCTTTATTTCGTCCACCGAGGTAGATTTTTCTATTTCAACGTGCCATGCCTCTTCTGAATGTCTCAGTTATTTCCCTTTAACTCAACTCTCTTAGTTTTGTATTGAACTCACAAATCTTTGGGTCTAGTCACTGGATCTAACTAACGCCTTTATGCACTCTAGCATTTGTACTTGAGGAGATATGTGTATGAATTTCTGGGACTTATAAACCTAATGTCTCAGCAACCATTTTTATCTATATTGCAATTTTTCTTATATTATTCATATTTTTACCAGAGCTTATATTGCAATATTTTTTTTATTCTTTTCTTTTCTCTAGCAGTCCTTATTGTATTTGTTTCAATGGTTGGTCCGCTCAGGAGATTTTAAAGCCATTTAAAATCAAAAATTGTTTTAACTGGGGAAAACAGTTCACAAAGGAGGCTACTGAAGTCGAAAAGCAAAAGAACTACACAAATTAACTTGCTGAAAGTAGTCCTAACAGCTAAAAAAAATGTGACAGTAAAAATAAATAACGCCACACTGAGGTTTCATCTGGACACTAGTAGCGATATTACAATTATTGATGAAAAACATGGAACAGAATTGGCAAGCATAACTTGGAAAAAAACTGACAAATAATCAAATGAGAAATATCGGAAAAGAAATTAATTTTTCTTGGAAAAATTACGTACAATGTTGCTCTTACGATTAAAACAAAAAATAAGAAAAGGTTTACGTATTAAGAAATTCCAACACGAATTTAATAGGCGTGGACTAGCTGGAATTATTTGGATTATGGAATTGGCCGATTAATTCATTTTGTTGAAAAATTGTTCTTCAGAAAAAAAAAGATTACAACTAAAGAAACACTGAGTAAACTAAAAAATAAATTCACGAATATATACAAAGTCATTTTTAAATTAAAAGAAAATGTGATACCATTTTTAAAGCTTAAAAGAAATAAACCCATTGATGTGTTGGAGTCAGTGTTAATAAACACCGAACTTGATAGGTTAGAAAACCACAGAGTTATTGAAAAATAGATTAATCAGAATGAGCCACGCCGATGGTTTATATTAGAAAGAAAAATAATAAGATATGTGCAGACTTTTTGACTGAGTTGAATGACTGCCTCCTCTTACATGTATATTTCCTACCAATTCCAGAGGATATAGTTGCCAAATTAAATGGTGGTATTTTTTTTTTAATTGGCCTGTCTGATTCTTTGTGGATAATATTAAATATTTAGGTCAGATTATCGACGAAAAAAGAAGAAGATCAAATCCAGCAAGTACCAAAGACACTACTCCCACTGACAATTTTGGTGACACAATCATTTCTCGGATTAGCAAACTATTATAATATTTCTGTGCCAGATATGTACAAATTGCGTGCACCTCTGAATAATTTATTTAAGAAGGGTACAAAATGGAATTGGTCGGCCGGGTGCCAAAAAGCTTTAGAAGAAATTAAAAAAAAACTACTAACTTCAAAGTTATAGACATATTAAGACACGCAGCGACAGAAAATAGTAGCGTCGGACGCGAGCGAATATGACACAGGAGCGGTAATAGGCCATAAATTTGAAGACAGTACAGTGAAAACAGTCGCTCACGCTTTAAGAAGTTTGACAAATACGGAAATACTACATTTGCAATTGAAAAGGAAGCGATTGCCATAATTTTTCTATAAAGAAATTTCATAGGATGATATTAGGAAGAAAATTCATACTGCATCGTCTATTATTTAGTATATTCGGTTCTAAGAAAGGGATTTGTACACATACTGCAAACAGACTACAGCGCTGGGCTAGGATTTTACTGAGCTATGATTTCAAAGTGGAATTTCTATCGTCAAAAAATTAGGGCATGCAGATGGCTTATCCAGATTGATATCGACATGTAAAGAAGATTTCGGAGATACTGTGATTGCTTCACTGGAGTCCGATATGTGAAAATAAAACGTTGCGTGTAACACTATTAAAGAATTAGCAGTCACGATAGATGATATCAAAATTCATTCTAAAAGAACACGTTTATTCAAAAAAAAAAATGAATGACGTTAAGTCAAAAT